CAAATGGAGAATTCAGTCCAATACAATTATTTCTGGAGAACTGCCAATCAGCCTCATCATTACATTATTTAAAATAAACAAATAAGGCATGAGTCTAATATCTACAGTCTATTTGAAACAGTTTTAAGCAAAATTAATTTAAAATGGGAAATACACCTGTCAAAAAAAGTTGTCCTTTCACATGTACTGAAGCGATACTTTCTATTCGCAAACTGTAAGCTACTAATAATTTAGAAGCCTCTGGAAATTGCTGGCTATGAGTACAAGGGAAATAAGCTATATAATGAGAATTTTTAATGCCAAGGCTCTGATGGGTTCCATCTCTAGAACAAGATTACACCTGCCAGGCAGACAGAATTACATTTTTTAACCCATGAAAATTAAACAATTTAGTTAGGTCTCTAGAGCTATTCTCCAATTTAAAGGAAAAACGGGAAAGCTAACATAACCACAGCATACACAAAATCTTCCTCACTGTAAGACATTCTAGAAGACAACTGGCTTAGAAACTTCAAAAAGTTAATGAAATGAAATGTAGGAACGAACTATCCTAGATTATGAGACTAAAAAGACATAACTAACCTTGATGTAATCTTGATTAAAAACAAAAAAACGTTAAACAAGAAGTGTTGGCGAGGATGTGGAGGAAGGGGAACACTTGTGCACTGCTGGTGAGAACGTAAATTGGTGCAGCCACTGTGGAAAACAGTATGGAGGCTCCTTGAAAATTAAAAATAAAACTATCAAATGATCCAGCAATTCCACTTCTGGGTATTTATCCAAAGAAAATGAAAACACTTTGGGGATTGGCCAGGTGACTGAGTAAAGTCTCACGCTCTGCTGTGGTGGCCCAGGGTTTCAGCAGTTCAGATCCTGGGCACGGACATGGCACCACTCGTCAGCCCATGCTGAGGCAGTGTCCCATGTGCCACAACTAGAAGGACCCACAACTAAAATATACAACTATGTAGTGGGGGGATCTGGGGAGAAAAAGCAGAAATAAAAAAAAAAAGAAGATTGGAAACAGTTATTAGCTCAGGTACCAATCACTAGGGAAAAAAAATGAAAACGCTAACTCAAAAAAATATACACACCTCCGTGTTTGCTACAGTATTATTTTCAATAGCCAAGCTATGGAAACAACCTGTGTCCACTGATGGATGAATGGATGAAGAAAAGATGGTGTATGTGTATACACACACACACACACACACACAAATTGAATATTATTCAGCCATAAAAAAGAATAAAATCTTGGCATTTGCAATAACATGGATAGCCCTTGAGGGCATATGCTAAGTGAAATAAGTCAGACAAAGAAAGACAGCTACCATATGATCTCACTTATATGTGGAATCTAAAACAAACAAACAAACAAAATCAAGCTCAGGGGCCAGCCCCGTGGCCAAGTGGTTCGGTTCCTGTGCTCTGCTTTGACAGCCCAGGGTTTTGCCAGTTAGGATCCTGGGCGCAGACATGGCACTGCTCATCAAGCCATGCTGAGGCGGCAGTTCAGATCCTGAGCACAGACCTAGCACTGATCATTAAGCCATGCTGCAGCGGCATCCCACACGCCATAAACAGAAGGACCCACAACTAAAATATACAACTATGTACTGGGGGGCTTTGGGGAGAAAGAAAAATAAAAATAAAATCTTTTAAAAAAAGAAAAAGAAAAAAGAACCAAGCTCACAGACACAGAGAACTGGTGGCCGCCAAAGGCAAGGGGTGGGAGGTGAGAAACATGGGTGAAGGGGGTCAAAATGTACAAACTCCCAGTTACAAAATAAGTCACAGGGATGTAATGGTGACTTATAGTTAATAATACTGTATTGCATATTTGAAAGCTGCTAAAAGAGTAGATCTGAAAAGTCCTCATCACAAGAAAAAAAAATTTGATTAACTATGTAAGGTAATGGATGTTAAGACTTACTGTGACGATCATTTCACAAGGCATACAAATATTAAATCGTTATATTGTATACCTGAAACTAATATAATGTTATATGTCAATTATACCCCAATTTTTTAAAAAGGTTATACAGAATAATTTATTGAGGGTCCAGCCCTGTGGCATAGTGGTTAAATTCGGTGTACTCCTCTTCAGCAGCCCGGGTTCAGATCCCAGGCACGGACCCACACCACTCGTCAGCCATGCTGGGGCAACAACTCGCATATAAAGTGGAAGAAGACTGGCATGGATGTTAGCTCAGGGAGAATCAATCTCAAGCAAAAAAAGAGAAGATTAGCAACAGATGTTAGCTCAGGGCTAATCTCCCTCAGCAAAAAATAATAATAATTTATTGAATTTATACAGTTGAATTAGGTAAATCTGGTAAATAAACTTTACCTAGTTACATTAGATAAATGGAACACGTACTACTTAATATTAGATAATTACTGCTAATTTCCTTGTGTGATGACACTATTGTGGTTATTTAAGAAAAATCTTGGGGCTGAGTGGTTAAGTTCGCACACTCTGTTGCGGCAGCCCAGGGTTTCACTGGTTTGGATCCTGGGTGTGGACGTGGCACCACTCATTAGGCCATGTAGAGGCAGCGTCCCACGTGCCACAACTAGAAGGACCCACAACTAAAATATACAACTATCTACTGGGGGGATTTGAGGAGAAAAATCAGGGGAAAAAAAAAAAAAAGATTGGCAACAGTTGCTAGCTCAGGTGCGAATCTTTAAAAGAAAATTAAAAAAAGAAAAAAAAAGAAAAATCTCTTTATTACTACTGATGAAAACTGAAGTTTGGGTGGTGGCCCCGTGGCTGAGTGGTTAGGTTCGCACACTCCACTTCAGCAGCCCAGGGTTTCATCAGTTTGGATCCTGAGCGCGGACACAGCACCGCCCGTCAGACTACGTTGAGGCGGCGTCCCACATGCCACAACTAGAAGGACCCACAACTAAAATATACAACTATGTACCAGGGGGCTTTGGGGAGAAAAAGGAAAAAATAAAATCTTAAAAAAAAGAAAAGAAAACTGAAGTTTTTAGAAGTCTACATCTTCAAAGAGTTCAGGAAAAATAACTGAATGAATCAATAAGTAACGTATCTTGCACATAATTTAGTTTCTCTCTAATGACTACTAGAAGGCAAAGATCCTGTCCATCTCAGTGTCACATTATAATGGACACTGATGATCATATATTATATACACTGTGAGCCAAATCTGTATTGCCTATTCATAATTTGCATGTTTTCAAGCCTTGGTCCACTGTGAAAACAATAAACAGTAATGACAGTATCTGGGAAAATTGAAGAAAGTAAAGAGAAGATGAAAGAAGTAAATATACCACCATAAGCTAACTGTATGTGCAACAGCCGGTTATATGCAAATTTTTACTCTTTTTCCTCCTTAATAGTCGCAGCTTAAGAGTTTTCTGTATTACAAAACTTTGCAAATGTTTTTAACATATTCCTAAACGTTTCACTAAGTATAATATGATTTACTTAAATATTCCATTGTTAAACACGTGAATTGTTTTAAAATATACCCTACTAAAATTCAAATCGCACTCATCATCTTTGCGCATAAAGCTTTTTCTGTAGAACTATTTATTTCCATCACAGAAGGAGGGATTACTTAAGTCAAAGAATTTTTGTTACTTCAGGTTTAAAAAAAACTTTTTTGGCTGTTCCTATTTTAATTTTCTTGATTATTAACAATGTTGAATATTTTTTTCCATTTTATTAGGCAGTTTTACTCCAGGAGAGAAAGAAAATACAGCAAAATTATAGCAAATGTTGCTTCTAGGAGGCAAGTATATGGTATTAACTTCTTTCAACTTTTCTGTATATCTAACATGTTTAATACCTTAGGATAATATCTTAGAATTGTGTGAATCTTCTGTTCTCCAGTAACCATTCATTGAGTAGGTATTGATGATACTCATCTGAATAAAAGTAGCTTTGTTTGTTTACTGACATCCACAAAATAACTTGCTGGGATTTTGATTGGGATCATGTTGAATCTATACATTAAGTTGGGAAGAACTAACATCTTGATAATATTGAATGATCCTAACCATGTTTAGGAATATTTTTCCATTTCTTTAGATCTTCTTTGATTTCTTTCATTAAGAGCTATTTTGTTTTGTTTTTGTTTTAAAGATTGGCACCTTAGCTAACATCTGTTGCCAATCTTTTTTTTTTTCTTCTCCCCAAAGCACTCCAGTACATAGTTGTATATTCTAGATGTAGGTTCTTCTGGCTCTGCTAAGTGGGACACTGCCTCAGCATGGCTTGATGAGAGGTGCTCTGTCTGCGCCCGAGATCTGAACCCGCGAAACCCTGGGGTGCCAAATTAGAGCATATGAACTTAACCACTTGGCCATGGGGCTGGCCTCTCATTTTAGTTTTATAGTTTTCCTAAGATATACTATGTATATTTTTTTTAGATTTATACCTAAGTATTTTTTTTTTGGTGCTAACATAGATGGCATTGTTTTTCATTCCAAATTCCAACTGTTCATTGCTGGTATATAAGAAAGCAATTGACTTTTATGTATTTACCTTGTATCCTGAAACCTTGCTATAATCACTCATTAGTTAAGGAAGTTTTTTTGTTGATTCTTGAGATTTTCTACATAGACAATTATGTCATCTGGGAACAAAGGCAATTTTAGTTCTTCCTTCCAAATCTGTACATCTTTTATTTCTTTTTCTTGTCTTATTGCATTAGGTAGCACTTCCAGGACAATGGCGAAAAAGTGGAGAGTGTGCACATCATTACCTTGTTTCAGATCTCGGCATCTAGCTTCTCACTATTAAGTATGATCTTAGCTGTACTAATTTTGTAGATGTTCTATATCAACTTGGGGAAGCTCCCCTCTATGTCTAGTTTGCTGAGCATTTTTACCATGAATGGGTGTTGAATTATGTCAAATGCTTTTTCTGCATCTATTGATGTAATCATATGATTTTTCTTCTTTAGCCTATTGATGTGATGGATTACATTAATTCATTTTTTAATGCTAAACCAGTTGCATACCTGGAATAAATGCCAGTTTGTCATGATGTGTATAATTCTTTTTATTCATTGCTGGATTCAATTTGCTAATATTTTGTTGAGGATTTCTGTGTTTATGTTCATAAGAGATACTGATCTGTAGTTTTCCTCCTGTAATTCTTAGTCTGGTTTTGATATTAGGGTAATGCTGGCATCATGGAATGAATTAGGAAGTATTCCCTCTGCTTCTATTTTCTGAAAGAGATTGCAGAGAATTAGTATAATTTCTTTCTAAAATATTTAGTAGAATTAACCAATGGACCCATCTGGGCATGCTGCTTTCTGTTTTGGAAGGTTATTAACCATTAATTCAATTTCATTATCTCTCAAGCTTCCCCACCACTTTGCTTTTGCATAAAGTCTTCAGACATACAAGCATTTATAATAAAACAGGGCAGACAGCTATAAAAGGGCTATACAAAATGCTATGGGATTCTGGGTAAATACCCAAGAAAAGTGAAAGCAGGGACACACAGATATTTGTACACTCATGTACATAGACACATTATTCACAATACCTTCAGGGTGAAAAACAAACCACATGCCCATCAACAGATGAATGGATAAAGAAAAAGTGGTATACACATTTAATGGAGTATTATTTGGCCTTAAAAAAGAAGGAAATTTTGACACATGCTACATGGATGAACCTTGAAAACATCTTCTAAGTGAAATAAGCCAGGCACGAGTATAAATATAGTATGATTCCTCGTATATGAGGTGCCTAGAGTAGTCAAATTCATAGAGACAGCAAGGAGAATGGTGGTTGTCATCGGCTGGGGAACGAAGAATGGGGAGTTAGTGTTTAAGGGATATGGAGTTTCAGGTGGGGAAGATGAAAAGGTTCTGGAGACAGTGGTAGTGGTTGCACGACAATGTTAATGTACTTAATGTCAAAGAAGTGTACACTTAAAAATGGTTAAAATGGTTAATTTTATGTTAAGTATATTTTACCAAAATTTTTTTTTTTTTTTTTTGAGGAAGATTAGCCCTGAGCTAAGATCCATGCCCATCTTCCTCTACTTTATATGTGGGACGCCTACCACAGCATGGCATGCCAAGTGGTGCCATGTCCACACCTGGGATCCGAACCAGCGAACCCCAAGCCGCCAAAGCGGAACATGCGCACTTAACCACTACACCAGTGGGCCAGCCCCCGAGAAATTTTTTTTAAAAAGTGCAACTCAATAAGTATGTGATGAACTAGTGGCCTAATAAATGCAAACTAAAGGATTATTTTTAAAGTGCTATGAGAGGGAAAGTTATGGGAAGAAATAAGGAGTAACAGGTTGGGGAACACAGATGTAAAACTAAAGTTTCAGATGAGCTAACTTACGCAATCACAAAAGAAAGGGTACACCCAGTGGAGAAGGGGAAGAGGGACAATTCCAGGTAGAGGAAACAGCAAGTAAGAGTAAAAAGAAAATACTGAGTTTTTGTTTTTTGCTTTGAGATACAACTGACATTTAACACTGCATTAGTTTTAAGTGTACTTGAGTTTTTAAAAGTGGTTAATGGAAATCAAACAACCCAATTACAAAATGGGCAGGGGACATGAACAGACATTTCTCCAAAGAAGATATACAGATGGCCAACAGACACATGAAAAGATGCTCATCATCACTAACCATCAGGGAAATGCAAATCAAAACTACACTAAGATATCACCTTACACCCGTTAGAATGGCAAAAATATCCAAAACCAAGAGTGACAAATGTTGGAGAGGCTGTGGAGAAAAGGGAACCCTCATATGCTGTTGGTGGGAATGCAAACTGGTGCAGCCACTATGGAAAACAGTATGGAGATTCCTCAAAAAGTTAAGAATAGAAATACCTTATGACCCAGCCATCCCACTACTGGGTATGTATCCTAAGAACCGGAAATCAGCAATTCCAAAAGTTCCATGGACCCCTATGTTCATCACAGCCTTATTCACAATAGCCAAGTCATGGAACCAACCTAAGTGCCCAGAAACTGATGACTGGATAAAGAAGATATGGTATATATACACAATGGAATACTACTCAGCCATAAAAAAGGACAAAGTCGTCCCATTCACAACAACATGGATAGACCTTGAGGGTATTATGTTGAGTGAAATAAGCCAGACAGAGAAAGACGAACTCTGTATGACTCCACTCATAGGTGCTAGTTATCATATGGAGAAAGAGAACTGATCGGTGGTTGCCAGGGGAAAGGGGGGTGGGGGGAGGGCACTAGGGGTGAAGTGGTGTACCTACAACATGACTAATAACGATGTACAACTGTAATTTCACAAGGATGTTAACTTTCATAACCTTAATAAAAATAAAAAAGTGGTTAATGGACAGGTTAGGGGGAAGAGGGAGCAAGAGAGGATGAAGTTGGGAACCTAAGTCCACATATTGAAGCTGGATTCTGAAATGCCTATTATGCTAACCTAGACATGCGAAAGAGCTTAAATCTATCAAAGAACAAAGCCTTAACTGGGGTCACGGGGACATAAATGGGCAAAAGGAGTTCAATGACACTCCACACGTCGCAGTTGCATGTAGAATTCTAATATGGACATTTACATTTTTTTCTGGGAAGAGAGTATACAACTTTCATCAGATTCCTACGGGGTCTAAAAAGTATTAAAAAAAACTGTTGTAGGCAATGATCAATCATCCCAGGAACGTAGACAATAAAATCTGAATTTTAGGGGCTGGCCCAGTAGCACAGTGGTTAAGTTCGCACGTTCCACTTCGGCAGCCCCAGGGTTCACTGGCTCGGATGCCGGGTGCGGACATGGCAGTGCTTGGCAAGCCATGCTGTGGCAGGCATCCCACATATAAAGTAAAGGAAGACAGGCATAGATGTTAGCTCAGGGCCAGTCTTCCTCAGCAAAAAGAGGAGGACTGGCAGCAGATGTTAGCTCAGGGCTAATCTTCCTCAAAAAAAAAAAGAAATCAAATCTGAATTTTAGGAAGATGAATTATCCTATACAACACAAAGGAGGGATAAGAGGCAGGAGAACAATTTAGTCAACTATAATACTCCAGGTGGAAGATGAGCATTTTTTTTAACTGAAATCTTTTATTAAGCTTTTTACAATTTTATATAAACTTTTTACTAAAATCTGAAATTTTTACCTATACCCAACAAGACTCTAATAGACTGCCTTTCAGGATATACCTTACATAATGTATGCAACACGCTGCGTAACATTGTACTTCGTAAAAATACATCACATGAAAACTATTGAAAAGGAACAAACCAGTGATTTTAAATTCCCCTTGTTACTCATGCTGAAGTTACACCCACTGAGAGGCAACATGACTCAAAAAAGCAAAAACTATGATAATACAAGTGTCGGTTTGGTGTGAGAAAAACAACCATATTCATACATTGATAGCACACACAGTGACCAAGCAATTCCACCTCCATGAATTTATCCCTGCATATATGCTCACACACGTACACAAACACATAAGCATAAGGTTATTCAATGAAGCACTGTTTGTAATAAAAGAGTGAAAACCACCCATGTCTCTTAAGTAGAGGACTAGTTAAAGTAAATCATGAAATATCCATACACTGTATATTATGCAACCATTATAAAGAAGATAGTTCTATTTAGGATCTCCAAGATATACTGTTAAGTTAAAAAAAAAGTACAAAACAGTGTATGGAACACTACCGTATATGTGAAAAGCAACAACAAAGGAACATAATCACATCTGTAGTAAATACATTTGCTATATATAACGCAAAATATATCTGGAAGAATTCATGACAAACTGACAATAGTAGCTACTGGACAGATGAAAGGGGATTGAGGGATAGCCACAGGAAGGAGACAGAGCACTGTATATCCTCTTGTACATTTTTCTTCTTTTTTAACACACATACATAGTATATAAATAAGTGAATGAATGAATACATGAAAATAAAATAACTTATCAAAGTAATGCTACTAACTATAGTGCTATAGACATGGTCAGACACAGAACTGGAAATGTCTACTTTGGGCACAAAACTTATATAAAAAATATAGTTAGCAATGAGCACTGTGGGTAGAAAATGTGGGTGAAAAACACTCCTTAATAACATCAACCTCAATTTGAGTACCTGAAACATGTAAGGGAGGCACTGGGCTACACACTTGGGTTGTGCGTGTGTGTGTAAAATCTACCAAGAGATATTCTGCCAAGTCCCATAATTATGTGGCAGATAAGGGTGAAAATCACTAGGTTACTAAAATAAAAATACACCGAAGTCCTAGTTGGTCATCAATTTTGAACAAAGCTAGATATGACCACTTCAGGACCACAAAATAATGTGACCGCTCAATTTCTGATGGAAGACTTTCTTATTTTAGACTTTTCTAGCTAGGCAACTGTTATAATTTTAGCTTTCTCCAATTACAATGAACCAAAAAGCCCTTCCAAGTTATACTGTGAGATGTTCTGGGGTTTTTTTGTAAAGGTGGTGAAAAGAACACTAATCTAATCTAATTCAGGTGACCTGGATTCTGCCACCAAGTGTGTGATTATCAGCAAATTTAATCACCTCAATCCTGTTTGGTCATCTTCAAATTAAAGAGTCTAGATTTGATGACCTTTAGAAGTAAAATAATTCTATAATTTCAAAATTACATAGGGAGCAGATAAGAATTGTCCAAAGTTCCTTTCAGCTCATTTGTAAACCTGGCTTAACAACTAGACTGAAGGCAAAAGCATTTAACAGACTACACAAAGACAACCATTCCCAAAGGAAAAGTCCTAAAGTGATAGTCCTGAATACTTCAAATGTGTCAACATTAAGATGAAATGACAAGCTTAAGGTTTTCAGTGCCTCTTGATTTTAGAACAGTAGTTCTCAGTTTCTAGTTCTATTATCCACACTGGCCTAAAAGCCTAACACTCAGTATTTGTTATTTACGGTGTCTTTGATTACCCTCTGACACATACAGTACAGTTATGCAGAAGTGCTTTAATTAGAGCCAAAACTAAAGCTTGTAAATTTCTAACCACAAAGTCAAACTCAGTACGGCTTTCTAACCAAAAAGTCAAATGCATACTAGTATTTGCACCCATGGTCAACAATCCACATTCTTGGCTGGGAAAATCAATTGCTTGACCAATTGCTAATTGCATTAAATACAGTAAATAGACATATATGTGACCTTCTTAAGATATGAGACCAAAAGCACAGTCAACAAAAGAAAAAA